TTCACCTCCCTGCTCTGTCCCTGGTAACTTCTCCCTGTTTCTATGAATTCAACCTTTTTGGATTTCACATATGAGCAAGGTAGTGTCCCACAGACACCTTAAATACATACAATTTCAATTTAGAAATTAAAAAAATAACAAATATATCTAACAAATGACAGGGAAGACCTCTATACCAAAAAGTACAAAAATTGCTGAGAGAAACGAAATAAAACCTAAACAGATGGAGAGATATAATATGTTCAAAAAGTCAAGTTGTCTTTTCCCCCTAAATCGAGCTCTACATTCAATACAACTGCAAACAAAACCACAGCTGACTTTTTTGGTAAAAAGTGCCAAACTGATTCTAAAATTTATATGAAGATGAGCAAAAGGCCTGAAGTGACACTTCATCAAAAAAGGATATATGACTGATTAATAAGCACAGGAAGGGGCCGGCAGGTGGTGTGGTGGTTAAGGGCGCTGGACTCCCACTAGGCCAACCACAGTTCAAGTTCTGGACCTGACAGCTTGCTTTCTCTCTCTCTTACTTTCTTTCTCACTCTGTCCCTCTATAGTCAAATCCTAAATCTAAAGTGAGCTATTAGGGAGATGAAATGTAAAGTAAAACTATGATGATATACCCTTACATACCCACTAGAATGTCTAAAATTAGAAAGATTGCTTGGGTCCAGCCCCTGGCATGGTGGTTAAGGGAGCCAGATCCCATATGCCAACCATGTATAACCTACTCCCAGACTTGGTGACTTGAAAAACACAAGGGGTGGTGTGTGTGTGCATGCCCCAAATCCAAACAGGGTACAGTTAGAGAAGAGAAGGGATTGAAGCATGACCACACTCCATTAGGGGGTGTTTCTCATTTTCCCTGAATAATACGTATGACCTCTGGCAAAAAAATTTTTTTTTAGGTTTTTGCTATAGGGTGTGTACACTCACTGCAGAGAGACAGAGTGAGAGGCAGAGAGAGAAGAAAATGAGAAATCACCCTTTGGAGGAGGTGGTCATGCCACAATCCCTTCTCCTCCATTTTCCTCTAGAAATTTTGGGTACACACATACATGTACCTGGCATGAGTTTCCAGCTACTAAGTCTGGGACTCAAACATGGTCAGCCATGTGGGAGTCCAGAGTGTTAACCACTAAGCTATCTAGGCCTGCCCTCTGGCAAATTAAAAAAAATAATAATGAGGGTGATAATGAAATATTAAAAAAATTAAGTTAAATTTTAAAACAGACTATATCAAATGTTAATAAGGGTGTTCATGAAGCAATTGGGACTCTCAGCTACCAGTGCTGGAAATGTGGCATGGTACAATCACTTTGGAAAGAAGTTTGTTGGTTTCTTTAAAAGTTAAACATCTGTCTACTACATGACCTAACAATTTCTCTCGTAGGTACTGATTTAAGACAAAATCAGAGCATATATCCCTCAAACAACTTGCATACAAAGAGTTGTATCTGGTTTTCCCCAATAGCCAACAGCTATGACTCTTTCAGATGTTCACCAAGCAAATGGATAAGCAAAATAGCACGTATATAATAGATCACCATGGCCTGGTGGTTAGGGAGTTGGATCCAAAGTGGCCAACTGTGTGGTTTGAATCCTAGTCCTGGCAGCTTGAAAAACATTCTGGACACATACATGTGCATGTCCAAAATTCTAAAAAGATGGAGAAATGGAGGAAATGGGATTGTGGCATGACCATGGCCTATTGGGAAGTGCTTTCAGTCTCTCTCTCTCTCTCTCTCTGGCAAGGGCTCATGCCTGTGGCCAAAAAGAAAGAGACTGCTAAAAATATTTCTTTCTTAGAGGTTTTTGCCTAGGGTACATGCAAGACAAGACAAAGAGGGAAGGTGAGAAATCACCCCCCGGAGGATGGCCATGCCACAATCCCCTCTCCACCATTCTCCTCTCTGGATCTGGGGCAGGCACTCACAAGCACCTGATGTGATTCCCAAGTCACTGAATCCAGGACTCAAACCATGGCCGGCCATGTGAGATCCAGTGATGTAACCACTAACACTATCTGTGGGCCCTGCTAACGTTTTTTTTTGTTTTCAAATAAGGAAAAAAATAAAAGGGAGGCTGACCGGCCTGCTACTAGTTATGGTTACTCTCTGTTGACTTCACAGCTGGCTGTCACAAGACATTTTTTTTTGTCTCATGGTAATTCCAGGTTCACAGTCTTCCTTAGGCTGAACAGACTACCATACTGCTATTAAGTCCCTCCAGACACCTTCTGCTAATGGAATTTCACCCAACTCTGCCCCTTCCCCTGGCTCCACCAGACCTTCCTTTGTCATCTTTGCCCAGTGTGAACTCCTTTAGAACAAGTTACAGGTATTACAAGTCACACTTTACTAGTATGAAAGACTAGCCTTTTCAGGGTTGGTGGATATGTCATCATTTCCATCTGGCCTCACTGCTGGCTGCGCACCCAGGGTCTGACTGTCACTTGATGCACTGTGAATCCAGTCAACTCCCTTTTCCTTATAACTTTTGCTTTACTGTTGTTCCTTGAGTCAGAAGCACTGAGGGTGCAGTGGGGAACAGGATGAATTAAGCCCTGCCCTTACTGAGCATACATTCTCTAAGAAGTCAGACAAGGAAACCAAATGAATAAATAGCAGTTATAGACAGACAGGTGCAATGATGGAAATACACAAGAATATGTAGGTGTCCATAAAGGAGTAGAGACGACCTAAAATAGTTCATAGTAATCAGGGAGGGCCTCTCTGAGGCTGAGTCATGGGACAAAGGGCAGATGGAAGAACATGGTATGCACACAGAGGAGAGGGTGCAAAGGTCCTGAGACAGAAAGGAATGCAGTGTGTCTGAAGAAACCAGAGACGATCAGTGTGACTGCTGCTTAATGAGCTGGGAGGAGGGAGCGGGGTGAGGCTGGGTTGGAGAATTGGGCCAGGGCCGGAGCATATAGAGCCCAAGTGTGAGGGTAGGCAGGAGTCTGGGTGGTGGTCTGAGACAATGGGAAGCCACTGCAGGGCTTTCAGCCAGTAAGTAATGTGACTGCTTCTGAGGAGGATGGATTAGAATAGGGACAAGGCTAGAGACAAAGACCAGTTAGGAAGCTACTGCAGTGGAGTTAGGAAGAGCTGGTGGCATAGACCAGGATGCTGGCATCAGAGATGGAGAAAAGACAGTTTCAGACCTATGAGGGGTCTTCAAAAAGTGAATGGAAAATGCATAATATAAAAGAAAAGGGGACCAAGGAGTCATAAATGGTGATGCGATACTCTGCAAGGCTCGGACACATGGGAAAGTTCTAGGTTCTTATGGGAGATCTCCCTGAACACACAGGATAGGCACATGCCAGTGAAGGAAGGGAATAAGGGAAGGAGACAGAGAAAGAGAGAGAAAAAGAAAAACTATGTATGGATTTCAATCCGTTTGGCACCAAAATGAGCTTACTCTTTAATTCCTTTTTCGATGAGCTTTTGGAAGTCTCATATTGCAAAAGCAGAACTGACAGAACTGCGGATGCACTCAACATGAAAAATGACAAAGGGGAGACCAGCAGATGGTGTAATGGCTATGTTGCTGGACTCCCACATAGCCAACCATGGTTCGAGTCCCAGACCCAGCGGCTCAAAACTCATGCCTGATGCGTGTGCGTGTGTGCCCAAGATCCCAAGAGGAGAATGCAGAATGGACTGCAGCATGGCCATACCCCCTGGGGGGTGATTTCGCTCTTTATCAATCTGTCTCCCCAGCGTGTGCATACGTTCTATAGCAAAAATCCCTCATATAAATAAATAAATAAATACATTTTTAAAAATGACAAAGGGAAGGATGGGCAACTGGTCATAATATTTATCAAAATCAGGATTCTGGGATGGCATAGGGCAGGGGAGGGTAAATCAAGACTTTCAGTTTAAGATCCTAGCAAGTGGATATGTGGAGGAGGTACATCCGTCTGAAGCTCTGGACAGAGGTCTGGACTGTAAAGTTTGAGGTCACCATGTGTCTCAGGGTGGAAGAAGAGGACTACAGGACAGAGCCTTGAGACATCCTGATATTGAAACCTCTGGTCAATGACAAGTGACAGCCATGTGTTGGGAAGAAAACAGCCAGTGTTCCCAAAAGCCCACCACTGTGGGGGGGTGGCAGGTGGTATTGTGGTTAAAGCACTGGATTCCAACATGGCCAACCACAGTTCGAGTCCCGGACCTGGTGGTGTGCTTTCTCACTTCCCCACACTCTCTCCCCATCTCTGGTCAAATAAATAAATAAAAATAAAGTAATTATTTTATTTTAAAAAAGAAAAAAGCTCACCACTTGTGCTCTCTGGGCCTTGAACAGCCTCAGGCAGATAGTGGTCCCTCCTAAAAGATTTGCAGTGTGTACTAGGAAAGCAGGAAGGGAGGGAGGGGCGTGGCTGCCCCACTGGATGGTGCTGAGAGATACTGTCAGAGGAGCCGGCCGGCCGGCTTTAGCAGAGACAGCAATGAACAGCACTGTCAGCGGAGTGCTGGGAACAAAGGCCAGGCTCTCTCCTTTGGATGGCAGTCACGATGACCACAGAATGCCAATCCAGCCACAAGCCCACAGTGACTCACCCACTCCTGCAGGAGCTTCCCGGGACCAAAGCACTTTCTTGCTGTCACAGCCCACTGTGAGGGCTTCATGGCAGTGGTTCACAAGTGCAGGACCTGCCAGGCTGGCCAGTCCCGCTTCAATGGCAGATGTGAGCAGGGATCCCACTGCCTGGGCTGGGGGATCCTGGCCCCTTTGCCAACTTAACGATACGCACCTTCGTCAGGCACTCATCTGCGTCCAAGCCCTGGCCTGTGAATTCTCAGGCCCGTGATTCCCACCTCACTTCCCATCCACTTGGTGCCCAAACCAACTGCCACACCTGCCAACTCATCCGTCTCCACGGCCTGTTGGTGGTGCAAACAGTGGTCACCATGCCTGGATCATGTCCACTACTAGAGAATAAGTCATCGTTAATACATGAACAAGCACACGCGCGGCCTTACCTGGAACAGTTAAGACAGAAGGGGATGTTTCAGGCAGTTCGTTAACACGACTGCTGTTTTGAACCCAGAAGATGTTGACCGGCTCAGGTGGGCCCACAGCCTGACAGGTGAGGTTGAAAGCTGTGTTTCTGGTGACATTCATGCTCTCGGGCTGCTTAGTGAAGTGAGGAAGCCCTGCAGAGACAGTGAGATGAAGTCACGGTGTGGATCCTAAAGCCCACCAGAGCCCTCAGGGGACTAGAAAGTGGACTAGGACTTGGCAACTGAGATTTCTTTACATTCCACCTCAGTCTGAAATGACCTCCTTGAAGTTGAAAAGGAAAAGCCTGGGACCAGCGGATGGTGTAATGATTACATTGCTGGATTCCTACATAGTCGACCATGGTTCGAGTCCTGGACCTAGCGGCTTAAAACTCATGCTGGGCGTGTGTGCACGTGTGGCCAAAATCCTGAGAGGAGAATGGAGACGGAATTGCAGTATGGCCATCTTCCCTGAGGGGTGATTTCTCACTTTCTGTCTCTCTCTGTCTCAATAGTGAATTGCACATGCCTATAGCAAACATCTCCAAAAACAAAAATATAATAATAATAATAATAATAAAAAGAAGAAAAACACTCGGAATCTGATTCCTACCAATCTGCCTCAAGCCAGCTTTCCAGGACACTTTCCCAAAGGGATTGTAAGTGGTGACTCAGAATGGATTTTACAGAAGAGAACACAGCTCTTAAACCAGGTATTGCTCACACTCTTGGCACTGGTTGGTGAGTCTGGAGTATTTCTTACCAAAATCAACACGGAGCAGGAACAAAACTAGTACCAGATCTGCCCCTGGTTCGAGGAAAATCTGCCGTATGTGTGACTTTCAGATGGGTGACGGTGAATTTTAAAATCTGTACATTTGCACAGGGCTGAACACTTCTCACAAAAACAGTACACAGCTACACTCCTAAGGTCGCCTACTGTAATTCCAAAATCGGGGCCACAAGGGATTTTGGGACTGTCAGAGAAAGCCAGTCAGGGCTTCTTTGGGGCATGTGCCAAGAACTTAACAGGCCAAGTGAATTGCCCTCAGGCATTTAAATTGTGTTCTTTTGGGACTGGGAACTCGCAGATCTGGCTGGAGCAGGAAAGATGTGGGAGTTACGTGAAATGAGTTCTTTTTTTCTGTTTCAAGGTTTTTTAAAACTCCATTTGGACTGAATGTGCTCCCAGCCTAGGCATTTTTCTGGGATTCTGACAAATACAATGTCCTCTACATATTTTTTTT